TCCAAATTACTTTCTTAATCATAGATTACATCGTTGTTAACAATCACATAACAACAGCAACGTTTAAAATGATTTATATATTTGTGACATATATTAAGAAAATTAACATAAATCAAAAGAATATTGGTGTTTCTGATTTTTAGAAAAAAAATATGTGTCATTCATATTTTTCTTCCAACAATGCAACCAAATATAGCGGTTAGAACTCTGAATGTACCAATCAACTTTAAGTTCCAAACATTAGCCATTACACATTTGAATATTTTGCTACCAAATTTAGAATTAATTTAGTAACTGATCCAAAAAATATATATTAAGGTGTAACGGTTTAGCAGATTAGTGAGTAATTAATTAAAAAAATATAACTTCTTTTGGAGGGAAATAAAAATATGTTTTATTAAATGTTTTATTAAATGCACCTGCTAATAATTATATATATATATATATATATATATATATATATATATATAGATTTGTCAAAATGATAATTTTTTTTTAACCACATACACGTGTGTGTGTGTGTTGTTACAACTCAAAAATTTAGTTTTGAATTAATTTTTTCAAGGTTGGTTATTGTAATTATATGTTATATTTATACAATTTTCTCCCCTAATTTAATATTTTTTTTTAAATATCTTCAATTTTATAATATTCAAGTAATTTAAGATATAACGTGTATGAAATTAGACTTTATGAAATATAATAATTATTCTAATTATAATGTTTTTTTTTTAAAGATCATTATAAGGTTCACTCTCTATTCTAATTATAATGTTTGTTTTTTTTAAAGATCATTATAAGGTTGAGTCTCTATGTAGTCTTTAATTAAGTGTCAAATTATCAAAAGTATTCAATAAATTTATTGTAATTACAAGAATAATATTGAACTAATAATATATAGTTAACAAATAAATTATTGTTATGATTATTGCCTTTTTAAAATTATAATGTACAAAACAATCAAAAGAATATGTAATGTATATAACTCGAAATAACCTCAGGTGTAAAAATTCTGGTCGTACAAAA